GGAGAGCGGTGGTGATGGGAAAGCGGGGGGGGGGGGGGCGGGGGGGGGGGGGGGGGGGTTATTTTATTTTATTTATTTATTTTTTGAAATGAACAAGTGCCAGGCGTCTGATGGCTTATTTAGATGAATGATTAGAGAAGAAGTCAAGTTTGATGTGTACTTGGGTGTTGTGTTAAAGCGATAGGAGGATAATGGTTATGGTGGTATCTTTCCAGGTAGAAGAGACACCGGATCATGGTTTGAGTTATAAGGATAAATTTAGTGTTATATAAATAAAGTAACGCCATATAAGAATTTGGAGGTTGATGGAAGTTATAGAAAGTATAGATGGAAGGGGCTAGAGGTCACCTCTTCAAACTTTATAGAAGAGAGCGAATAAATTAAGGGTAATTGATGAATCTTTCAAGGACACAAGAGGTAGTGGCATAGCCAGGAATTGGTGTTTGGGGGCACTCTTATTAATTTATTCTCGTAGAAAAAATACTAAAACAATTATATCAATAATCACATTTTATAGTACCAAGATTTTTCTGAGAGCAAGTATAGGTTCTCAAACAATAAAACCACAATCAAATATTATATATGAAACGATTGTTTACAAAAAAGAAATGAGTACTCTCAACTCCATACTATAGTCAAAATTAGTACAACAAGCTCTTAGAAAATAACATCCAGCTTGAAAATAACATTAACGGACTATTCCAACTATTTGTCAATTCTTTGAAATTGTTGCATAATTGCATCATACTAATAGTATCATAGATGAATATCTTAAGTTGATTGTCAAGAGTCATAAGCTTCTATGGTAAAAAAAAATCAAGAGGATAACACTCACATGATGGGTTAACTTTTGCTTGTTGAATGTACCAAAAAAATTAAATAAAAATATTATGATGCAATGTTTTAAATATCGGCCGATAAACCGATATTATCGGCGATTTATCGGTTTTGGGGGCCTTCCGCTATGATAAGTTGATTTCTAAATCAGTTATAGTTTTTGGATGTTTATCGCCAATGATGTGGCGATAAAGTGAGCTATCGGCCAATATTGTCGGCTCAAAAATTAGAATTATCGGTATTTGGTTTGAGTTTTGTTTTCGGGCAACGGGCACTTATTCAATGCACCTTTAAACCCGAACCGACCTGAGTTTCTACCATTGGTTAGTGATCCTAAACATAATTATTTACATTTTGGTATGTTTATATTTCATTAAGTATGGTTAGATTACATTTTAGAATATTATATTATGTATATTACCATTCAGTAATGTCACTCTCATAAATACTATTTATCCTCGATATATCCCCGATATCCGCTATCCGATATGGATTTTGACTATCGATAAATCCCTGATAACCGATATTTAAAACCTTGCTACGTTGTAAACATGCTACACCAAGAAGTAACTATGTATTTGTGAAAGTAAAGAGATTTTTTAGCTATTGAACTTTTAAATCTATAACTATATATATTGATCTACTTATAGTGACAATGATGCAAATTGAAGCTTGCTTGAGTTTATCTATGAGAAAATAAACTCATAGCAATATATATGAGTTCATTCATGTTTTTTGGTTTAATCATTAAAGTTTAACTAGGAGAATATAAACGTATGCATTATACAAACATATACGTTAGAAAAGAACTTGTTCTTTTTTTTTGGGGGGGGGGACCCGCCCTTCCTCCGCATCGACAGAAACGCCCTCTCTCTCTCTCTCTCGACCTGCCCTGACAGAAGCGCCCGCGCACAAACACACTCTCTCTCTCTCTCACACACACGCACACAGAGAATTACAAGAGGTGGAGGCAGGGATACAATCTTCTTACATTAATGGTTCAAGAAAGACTTGAAGCTTTTAGTGATATTTCTAAGTTTTGAGCGAACCATACTTCGACATATTGAAAAATGACTAATGTACCCCTTTCTCCTATTTCTTTCTACTCTCTTTATTCTCTCTCCCTCTTTCTTCCTGTCTTCGGGGATGAGGACCTGACTTGGGCTTGGGTTTCTGAAAGGTATACAAGCAATTGAAAAATGAAGAATTAAAAAGAACCTCAACATGATATGTTCCAGTGTCCCATATGTTTCTTACAGCTTGATGTTTGTGAAGTTTGCACTTTCGTTTGATCCATCAACCTCAATGGTTGATAACCTTAAAAGCCCAGTGTGATCCATTCCCATCTCATGTCCCTGGTTATAAATTTTGATAATTGACATATTTTAACACAAGTGATTCACCATATGCTTAAGATGTATTGTTAATAATTGAAACTCAATCTATTGACTCGAGCAAACTTGGGTCAACAATATGTGTATTCTGTTGCTTCTTGGAACAATGTTGGATGATGACAACTGGGGGATAAGGGCCCAAGAATCCAAATTATAATTGTAGCCTTTTGTGTTCTTTTTGGGGAAAATCTTGTTTATACTTGAAAAAAGTAACTGTTACGTACAGAATTAGTTGAGAACAAATTGGGTTAACAGTTAGCAGTACATCGCTACACCATCACTTTGATATGTTTTGTGACACAAAATGGTTGGAATCACCACCAATTTTCTCAGTGTAAGAATATGTATATTTTACCATTAATATTGTTGCTCTTTTATGCTTACGTTTACGTTGGTTTTGTTTATTTCTTATTGCTTGAAGCATATGCAACTTCACTGGTTTGATTATCCATTTATAACATTGCAGACTATAATCGGTCATGACAATGGAGGCATTGCGTTCTTTTGGAGTTGGTCCTATTGGAGCACATTTCTCCTGACATGGTATTTTAATGAGCTTACGTTTTGAGTTTGTACTAAGTCTTATTGTTGTCATCCTGTTAGTTGGATATAATCTATATAATGGTGGTCTCAACATCCTAATAAGAGACGTGCTATATCTATGCATGATGCTTTTTGGTACTGTGAAAACGAGTTAGTCATTAAACATCCACACATTATCGTTTCTTTGTTATTGATGTTCCTTGATTTTCTGAAACTTCGGTGTCAAACTTGAATGAAAAAGAGCGGGCGCATGGCTGGAGATTCTGTTTCAAATAGCAAATCTTACACGATTGGTTTACAGGATCATGATCCGATCCGCAAGGACCTAAACTTACCCGGATGTGGGGTTGGTGTGTACATGTCCATTATACATTCATAACCATTGAAATCTAAGTCTAAAACATGACGCTAATGTTTCTTGCTTGTTCTTGTGAACATACTATATGTGCATATCCATTAATCTATGTATCTGTGTTCTTATGTAGGATATCAGTGGGTACATAACCACAGATGGTTTATTACCATTTTAGTTTTTTTCCTTATTATTTTAGCTGGCGTATCTATTGCATTTCTGGTTTAGTTATATTGATTCATATTGGGTCTATTATCATTATCAAGGTTAATTTTATCTGTCTATGCAGGGCTGTGGTTCCTACTATTCAGGGTTATGAAGATGCTGGGGATTTCACTGTGAGAGAAAGGCTAAGGACTAGTATCCGTGCGAACTTGGTCTTTTATCTAATAGTGGGATCTATTGGCCTTTTTGGACTTATTCTGCTCATCATTATGCGCAGAGACTGGTGCGTTTTCATGCATATTATATATATAGATGCGCGTTCGCACGCAAAAACATGCACACATATATACATACAAATATTTGTATTTATTTATGTATATGTGTACTACTTCCTATTTGTTTTGGCATCATATGATGTAGTCCTGACCTTTTAAATTGATATTTATTTGTTATTATATAAGTTTATTCTCTTTGATTGATTACCGGATGATGATTGTAAAATTATACTATTGTTGTATGTAGACTATTTTGCTATATATGCTTTAGTCAGTACTCAGTAGGCATTTAGCTATTATTATGCATCCTTGAATTTTGATAGGATGAGAACAGCTATGAAACTATGATTGTATGTTTAGATTGTTGGTTCCTGGAGCCTAGATGAGCCACCACAATGGTGTTTGACTTTTTATAAATTGTTGCATCGGATTGAAGGAGTCTCCATTGCGAATGGTAACCTAAAACAGTGTTCAATCAGTCTATGGGCTTAGCAATTGCCACTATCGACCTAAAAGTGGACCATGTTAGTGCAGTGGGCTTCACATTTCAAAAACATACTGAAATTTGTCTGATTTTGTAATACGCAAGGCCTAGCTTGGTGGAGCAATTACATGCTTGCTTCCTGGAGTATGATGTTTGACATGGTTGAATGGTCTATACCTAGTATTTAAATCCATGTATTTGGGGTTAGGAGCTGATTTGGATAGGTTTTAGAAGGTAACTATTATCCACTGTTTAGAAGTGTAGAAAGAAAGTAAGTGAAATCGATAAACGAGTGATGGTATTATTGTTGAATGAGAATATGGTATTGTCCAGAATCTCAGCAGTGAATATAGAGTAGGGGAAAAAACAATGGATGTTGAAAAAAAAATAGAAGAGATGAAAGAGATGAGATACTTCTACACAGTAGACCTTGGTCCTTTATGACTACTCTTGTAGCTTCAATATCTTTAACCTTGATACATTTTATACACTAATAAAATAGTTGACTACTAAGTGATATCTACCCTATCACAACAAATATCTGAGTGATTATAGAAGAAACCTTGACTATGGAATAGAGTACGACTAACTAAAGATGCTGTAAGTTGAAATAAAAATATGTTGTAATAAGTATTTTGAAGAGTCAGCTTGACAATCTTTCCTTATAATTTATTCCTTCTAAAAGCTAAAATCAAGGTCTTCTGGTTTGACTCAATAGTCAAAGTCGAAACTAATGATTCACTCTTTGAGGAAGAAGGCTAGATGGCAATACAATGGGAGTATCCACTAAAATAAACGCCAAACAGCCTGTGCATCAAGTGATTGCGCTATGATTAACTCGCATAATTCGTCTTGCTGCAGTTTTCTTGAATTCTCCATATTGGATTCCATGACCTAATGATGATGACAATTTAGTCCTCAATCCCTAATGATTGGTAGATGCGGCAGTAGTCATGTGTTATTGCAGAGAGCAGAGATGAATGATGAAACATTTAGGAACTCTGATTGTTTGAATTGTTTTTGATCTGAGATTGACAGGTATAATGGATAATGATGGAGAAGTTAGTTTAGCCTGCCATGGTTGCAATGACCATCTCAACTATTTGCAGTGTTTGACATGGTATTAGGCAGTCTCCTTTTTTTTGGCATCTTTATCTTCCATCTTTATTAGTGTTTGGGGAGTTTTCCGGAGATTTTATGGAAACAACAGGGGAGCGCATCTTGTTTAGAGCACAAATTTAAATGATGAGAGGGAAGATCAGGGCTATAAATTTTAGCTTGTAATAAATTATATACTTTGCCTAGAGTCTCCCCCTTCCCCCTAAAAAATAGCCATTTTTCCACCATCTTAGGAAAAGACCAAAGCAATTAGATGGAGACTTCCAACATAAAAATATGGATCACACGTTGAGGCGCTTGGGCTTGATTAAGATAATTATTGGTGATTAACATAATTATTGGTTGATATTAGCTATCACATGATCAGTCATTTGGGATGAGCAGTTACACAATGCTGCTTCTTACCTATATATAGGTAGAACGGATACAGGGTACGGACACGGTCACGGAACATAGAAAATTTGTAAAATGCAGGGTACAAAGACACATCTATATGTGTAGATCAAATATTGAATTAAAATATCTATAACATTTGTATGTTTCTTTTATTATCTCTACCAATTAAAAATCAAGTTAAATGAAACTCAGAATAAGGGGTGAGCAGCCATTTGGGGTGAGCAGTTATACAATGGTTGATATTTGCTATCACATGATCAGCCATTTGGGGTGAGCATTGTGTAACTGCTGCTTCTTACCTGCATCTAGGTTGCACGGATATGGGGTGCGGACACAGGACATAACAAATTTGTTAAATATAGGATACAAAGACACAGTTATATGTGTGTAGATCAAATATTGAATTAAAATATTTATAACATTTGTATGTTTCTTCTATTATCTCTACCAATTAAAAATCAAGTTAAATGAAACTCAGAATAAGATTTAAGAACAAAAGTTGTGTGGTATGATACGGTGTGCATTTTTCAAATATTGAAGCAATGAGTTTTAGTTTTCGGGTTAATTACTGGAAATTACATGTCCATAGTGTGTCCATAGAGAATCCGTGTCCGACACGGACATGGTACCTAAAACACTATGTCCGAGTAACCTAGTCCTGCATGAGTATCTACGTGGATTTACTCTGATGGTTAGCTAGATTGCTCCTAATTAGCAAAGAAAGAGAGATTACACAAAATTTATGTTCTTGGCATACGATTTTACCAAACGAGGAAGTAACTATACAAATTTATTGTTTATACTGTTTTAGAAGAAATATTCGGAAGCATGATGTTTTAGTGGATTTGATGCTATACTGTAGCCATACATTAGATTTAGGTTATGTTCATAGGAAGAAAAGAAGTTGTGGCAGCAGAATGTTCTAGAAAAATTTGGGAAAGATCGATAGAGAAAAAAAGTAGGATAGAAAAACTTATGATTGAGTGACTTATCATAAGATAAAAAAATTCTAAAAAGATATAAAAAACATTCCTTTTTGTACGACACTCAATTTTTTTCACTGTTATTCTATGAATTCTATGATAAAATTTGGACTTAAGTTCTGAAATTGTATTAAAAATTCTATAATCCTTTTCACTTTGTGAAACTGCTATATGATGTTAGTTTCTTGGGTCATGTGAAATTTGTAAAAGATATATCTTCTTCGTAAGCTTCTTACTTCGAGCAGTTGTCATTTCCATTCTAGTTTTATTATATCATGAAACAATAAGTAATGTGGTTTAAAGTAATTCCTTAACTGTTAAATTTGTATACTGCAGGAGTGGGGGTATTGTGGGCTTGGCTATGGCTTGCTCGAATACCTTTGGGCTTGTCACTGGTGCATTCCTTCTTGGTTTCGGGTTGAGTGAAATCCCAAAGAGCATTTGGAAGAATGCAGATTGGACCAATCGTCAAAAGTTTCTTTCTCATAGGGTTGCAAAAATGGCTGTAAGCCTAGATGACGCTCACAAAGAATTGTCAAATGCTATTGTAGTAAGTACATAGTCAACGATCTTTCTTGGATTTCACTGCTTGGCATTCATATGTTGTTTCCTTTCTTTTTCTTTAATTTTATATTTCATCTGTACTCTTTTGTAATGATTGGAACAGAGATGTCCTTGCTATATGATTTTTGAGAAAGATGCTAATATAATCACTATTTTATCATTGCTGCAAAATGCAGTATATAGTACAGTCTTTGAGCATCTTTGCCTTCCATGTTTTTATATTCTTAGCTAAGTTTATTAAGTATAGAATTTGGAGGTATTTCATTCAAAAAGTTGAGATATAAATGTAGCCTCTTAGAAATTCTCTGTGATGCGCATTAACTTCGTATGAATTCCCTTTGTAAAAGTGATCAATCTTTTGGGTTAATATTTAATAGGGATTCTATGACCTACATCTTCTTTTATTTCACTATTTTAGTAAATTATAAATCCTAGTTAATAATAATTGTCAATTTTCGGTATATATTATCTATGAATCTTCACTATAGACTAGTTCCTTTCCGATTCTAAAACAGTTTTTATCTGCTCTTTTCCAGTAAAAATCATTTAGATTCTGATGATTCTCTTCATTTTTCTACTTTGAAGTTATCCCTTCTTTAGTCAAAAATCATGCACCGGGAGACTTCATTCTTGATGTGCCTAGGAAAATCATAACTAATACAAAGAAACAAGGACTTTATGTTAATGTATGAGGGTAAGAATACCATCGGTTCCATGGTACATCTATGCATTTGTCAGTTGATTTTGATGGGCTATAAGAGATAATTAAATTGTTTTATGTTAATTAAATAGTTAAAGAGGAGGCATGCAGCATAGAACTTATTTTTGCGTTGTGTGTAGGATGTGCACAAGAGGTAGTTCTTAGTATCAGATAAATGTGATTTTTCGCATGTAGGTGTTTACCTATTTGGATCTAGCATTAGATAGGAAATGCTAATTTGGATTTGGGAGGTTAGGTCAGTGTTATCGAGGCGCGCGTCTGGGGCGCCCCCCAGGCGCGAGGCGATGCGGCCTGCAACAAACGCGCCCCACACCAGAGGTGGGGTGCTGCAGG